CGTCTTGTGGCGCCTAATCTCCATATTGCTCCTTGGCCGCAGCGCCGCACGCACGGCCTCCCTGTGGCAATGGGGCAGCGCCAGCTGTTCCCGGCTCTGCAGAGCTGGTTCTAGTCCCCCACGGCCTTACAGAACGGGGTTGGTGGCCAGTTCGCATGCGCTCGGCTCTCTGCAGTTAGCAGGATTTAAATTCAGGCCTTCAATTCTCATTGTGTATTTCCTGGTGGGGCCCCCGACATTCACACAAATGGACAGAGCTCACAGACTTCAGCTGCAGGTCAGGGGGCCTGGGACTTCAGCCCTGTGTGGTTCTGGGGCTCGGGGCTTCTGCCCCACAGGAAGTGTCGAGGCTCAGTGCTCCAGGCTTCAACCACGGAGCTGGCTCCCGGCCTCCCAGAGGTTTGAAAATATTTACTGGAGCTCCGCTCCAGCCAGCTCCAGTTGAATTGAAGCCCTGTTTAAATTCCTTCCTTGGGGGTGGAATTGGAGGGAGGACCATGTGCATTTTCCTGCCAGTGACAGAGGGCCCATATGTGTGTGTCTGTGCTTCTGGGGGCAGTAATGATGCATTGTCCATAGCAGAGCTTTGGAGCTGTGCTCCGGCTCCGGAGCAAGCTCCAGGCAAAAACCTGCAGTTCCACTGCTCTGGAGCTGCTCCGCGCTCCAGCTCCGGGCTCCGCTCCAAAGCCCTGATCCATAGTTAAGCTGACAGGCTTCAGGCTGGTGCAGTGTATCTCCCACAAAGTCATTTAAAAGCTGCTTCTCTTGCTCTAAACATCGCCTCCCCCGGAATCCCCGGGGCCTCAGCTGCTGAGTACAAGGACACAGGAAATAAATTCCAGCCTTCGGATTTCACATTTCTTGTCTGCCAAAGGGCCACTGATTTGGGAGGAACCGACGACGGTGCCTCGCTTTATGCACCAACAATGCACCAAATGCTGTAGAATGATGAATAAAAACTCCAGCCCCTCTCCCCAAGGAGCTTAAAATTAAAATTGACGATGAGCAGATGGTTTGTTTCCAAGCGACTGGTGACGTTCCGTGCGTATGTGGTTGTGTAGTCTCTGAAGAATGTACACTGTTTATACAGATCTCAGTCGTTCACTTACTCCCCAGCCCTGCCCCTCTGGGGTTATTTACAGTTAATCTGAAGAAGTCTGTCTTTTATACAGCTCATTTTGGGAAGGGAGCTATTTTGGTAGTTGGGAAGGAATCTGCTATTAGTGACCGCAGCGGCCGAGCCTCCCACTGAAATGGTTTTTCCCAGCACAGGGATTTTCACAGCGCCATGTTCCAGACGCGGACCTGAGACACAGAGAGACGCAGCAGGGTTGTCTGTGGCAGAGCTGGGAATTGAAGCCAGCGCTCTTGGGTCCTAATCCAGCACTTTAACCGTCCTTCCTGGAGCGGTAAATTATATGAGGCAAGTCGAAAGCCCATCCTAGGTGGGCTCCCATGCAGGCCCACCTTCTCCTCTTGACTCCAGCCCAGGGACCCTGTAAGAAGCAGATAAGGTGCGTATGTTCAGATCCTCTGCTGTATCCCTCGGCTGCTTCCCACCGCGGCCCATAGCTGGGCCTTTCTCACAGTCTCTTCCCGGGTTCTCTTCTGCTCATCCTAAAAGGGGGAACCAAACTAGTTCTGGGAAGCAAAAGGACCCACCCAAGGAGGCTCTGACATTTCAGTGTCCGTCCTTCATCCACGGGGCTAGCTCAAGAGATCCACCTCTGAGCCGGGCTTTTCCTCGTTTAACTCCTCTCTCCAGGCACTGGTGTAACGGGTGGGGCTGACTGGGCCCCCCGGCTCTCACAAAGCCCTTCCTGGGGAGTGTGGGGTCTGTACAGCCCATCGCAGTTTCCGTTACAGACCTGTCTCTGCAGGGCCGTCCCTAGACATTTTGGTGCCCTACACAGCCCCCTGGTGGGGGGGTGGGGGGGAGGAAGGAATGGACGGAACATCCCCAGGCTTCTGTGGGATGGGGAAAGGGGGGAAGGAGCACGTTTGGGGGCAGGAGGGAAACTGCCCCCCAGCACAAGCCGGTGGAGTGGAGGGGGCTGGGGCCGGGTTGCTCCACTTCCCGCCGCCCGGTGAGTGCAGGGTGCCCGACCCCTGCTGCAGTCCCCCGGGACGTTGCTTAGGGGAAGAAGTGGAGTGGGGGGGATGGGGCAGAAAGAGGCAGGGCGGGGCAGAGCGGGGGTGGGGGCTTTGGCGAAGGAGTGGGGGCAGGGCTGGGGCAGAGCAGGGTGAGAAGAGGCAGGGCAGGGGCAGAGCAGGGGTGGGGGTTTTGGGGAAGAGGCGGAGCAGGGGCGGGGGCCAGGGGGAAGAGGCGGAGCAGTGGTGGGGGCAGCTTTCCTGGGTGGCTCAGCCAGCCGGAGGATTGGGTTGGCCACTGGAGCTGCACGAAGCCACGTAAGACACCAGGACATTTTGGGCAATTTGGTGCCCCAAATTTCCTGGTGCCCTACACAGCTGCGTACTTTGCGTATGGGTAAGGACGACCCTGCGTCTCTGCTGCCAAATGGGTGTGTGCGTGTCCACAAATGCGTGTCCCTTCACGCCCCCTCAGTGTGTGCGTCCTAGTCCCCGCGCCCACATAACGCACCAAGACGCATGTCAGATTTCTACCCGCTCTGGTGTGTCCCATTGCACCCCCCCGATCTGTGGGCCTGTTTTCTCTCCCGGGGGCGTATTATAATGTGATCTCATGCTGGGAAGAGGATCAGGTTTCAGGAGAGACCTATATGCGAGTGTGTGAGATGAGAGACACAAGATGACCCCTTGCGTGTGTGTGTCTCTGTTGTACTCCGCACTCCATTCCTTCGAATGATAAATAACGCCCCCTGTTTAACTACCCGTCTAACGCGCTGTGAGCCTCAGTGCAATCCAAGCTGAGTCAGAGACCTTGCCAGCCAATTGCTAGGCTATGGGCCAGTGGTTTTCAACCTGTGGCCTGCAGCCCCGGGTTCTCCGCCAACTAGGGGCACGTCTACACCTACAGTTCCAGCGCCAGCCGTTACAGCACCGCTCAGAGAGCGCTGAAGGGAAACTGCTGTTGTGTGTTCACACTGACAGCTGCCTGCGCAATAGCGTGTTCACACTTGCGGCACTTGCAGTGGTATTTGGAGCAGTGCACTCTGGGCAGCTACCCCACAGAGCATCGCTGCTTCTTCTGCTGCTAAGACTTGTGGGAAGGTGGAGGGGGCCGTGGGTCATCCTGAGTCCTGTCCCAATGCCCCGTGATGCATTGCTTTGCATCCCAGCAATCCCTGTGCTTCCGCCCGCATTTGGCGCCATCCTTCGACGGTTTGTGTACTGTGCACCCTGCCTCTTCAGGCTGCAGGAATGGATCCCGAGTTGTTGACCAGTATGCTGCTCGCTCTGACCAACACTCACGAGGGGCAGTGGAATTATTCCTTAAACTACAAAGACAAGAGGAGTGCGACATTGATCTTGCCACACATACTAGTTACGACACAAGATTGTTTGTGGCATTGACGGAGGTGCTGACCACAGTGGAACGCCGCTTTTGGGCTCAGGAAACAAGCACTGAGTGGTGGGATCACATAGCCCTGCAAATCTGGGATGACAAGCAGTGGCTGCAGACCTTTCAGATGAGGGACGCCACTTTCATGGGACTGTGTGATGAGCTCACCCCAGCCCTGCGGCGCAAGGACACGAGAATGGAGCTGCCCTGTCGCTGGAGAAGCGTGTGGCGATTGCACTGTGGAAGCTGGCTACTCCAGACTGCTACAGATTGGTCACTAACCAGTTCAGAGTGGGAAAGTCGACCGCTGGAGTCGTGTTGATGGAAGTGTGCAGGGCCATTGATCGCATTCTGCTGCGAAAGACCATGACTCTGGGCAACATGCAGGACATTGTGGATGGTTTTGCACAAATGGGCTTCCCTAACTGCAAAGGGGCGATAGATGGCACGCACATTCCAATTCTGGCACCTGACCACCTAGCCACCGAGTACATTAATCACAAAGGGTATTTCTCAATGGTTCTCCAGACGTTTGTGGATCACCGTGGGCGTTTCACAGACATTATCGCAGGCTGATCCGGAAAGGTACGTGACGCCCGCATCTCTCAGAACACTGGCTTGTCCAGGAACCTGCAAGTAGGGACTTTCTTCCCGGACCAGAAGATCACTATAGGGGAAGTGGAAATGCCCATTGTGATCCTGGAAGACCCCGCCTACCCCTTAATGCCGTGGCTCATGAAGCCATACACGGGGCAACTTGACAGCAGCAAGGAGCGGTTCAACAACAGGCTGAGCAAGTGCAGAATGACTGTTGAATGTGCTTTTGGCTGTTTAAAGACCCACTGGCACTGCCTAGATGGGAGGCTGGACCTGGCCAATGACAATACTCGTATGCGTATAGCCGTGTGCTGTACGCTCTATATTTGTGACGGGAAGGGTGAAAGCTTTACTCAAGGTTGGACCGCAGAGGCTCAGCGCCTGGAGGCTGAATTTGAACAGCCGGAGACCAGGGCTATTAGAGGGGCCCAGTGCGGGGCTATAAGGATCAGGGATGCCTTGAGGCAGAAATCTGAAGCTGAAAGCCACTAGCATTTGTTGCTATGCTCGGGAGTGCAGTGCTTGTAACGCTAGGAGGTGATTGTGATTGGTGCACACGATGCACTATGAAGGTTTAAGAAAATTGCCTGTTGCTTTGCAGGGCTGTGCTTGCTTTCAATAATAGAATAAAGATTGCTTTCAAACCAACACAATTCTTTTATTGAAAAACAACAACTGGAGGAGAGAGACAAACAAAAAAACCACATCAGCAGTGAAGGGGATGGGGGAAAGGAAGGTCCCAGGAGGAGGTGGAGTCCCAGGATGGCTAAAGATTTGTGTATATCCAGGGATCATATCCAACCCTCTCCTTTCGAATACAGTGCAGCGGGTACTGTACTTCAGCAGGGCTAAGCTGCAGAGGGCCGGGTGTTGAGTGCAGTGGGTAGTGGGAGTCTGCAGGGCTGGACTGTGACGTGGGAGGAGTGGAATGCTGCGGGTACGGACTGGAGCCAGGAGGTTAATAAGAGTCTGTTGGTGGTGTCTGGGGGGCGCATGGGAAAGAGTTTTGCAACAGCGGCTGCAGGGGAGGGCGGGCGCGGAGCTGCTTGGTTTGAAGAGCTAGAATGGCCTGGAGCGTGGAGTGCATCATGACCTCACGCAGAAAGTCCTCCTTAGTTTTTCCTGGCCGCTTTCTAATTCTGCGCAGCCGTTCAGCCGGCGATAACAAAGAGGGAGGCTGGGCTCCCAGGGTCATCTCTGTGAAGCCAAAACGCAACCTTTTACAGAAGCAGTATTGTTTGCAACACAGAGAGCACTGATTCAGTGATTTAAAACACAGCCAATATTCACATACTGTCACTAACTGGCTGACCCCAGGCAAGCACACATGAGACACAAGACCCCCAAAATGATGAGTAGCCACAGGGGCAGAGGCAATCAGTGTTCCCGGACCCTGCTGTACACTGGGCACATGGCTTTTGGGGAGAGCCAGCACTATGGGGTGGGGTGGCCTTATGATCATTCCTGTCCCCACACATTCCACAGGAGGTGATCATTAGGGAAGATATCTCGCTGCTGAGGGTGAGCAGGGAATCAAGGGAGAGTCTTCTCCAAGACTGCGGCTTCTGCCCTGGCCCTTTTGCAGCTCCCCCGTGTGCAGCACTGGTGTCCCCCCCACAGTGACGGCAAAGTGGTGCAGGAAATGTACCGTTAATGGAGCAAGAAACAAAGCAACTCTGCCGAGGAACCTGTGGCAGCCGATTGCCCTGTATCTCCAGGAGAGTTTCCTGGAGATCTCGGAGGCAGATTCCCGTGAAGTGAGGGAGTCCATCAACACCCTGTTCCGCTGCTCAGACTAGGGTAACATACAGACACAAGCCTGCTTTCTGCAACCCTCCTGCCCTCAACAATTTGCTTCAGTGATTCCCAAAATCAAAGCCACTTACCAGGAGCCTCCTCGCCTGTTTGCGCTTTGCCAAGCTCTGACCGCTGCTCCCTGCATGCATATCTGGCCTCTGAGTCATCCTCTGCCTCTGGGTCCCCCTCCCCCTCCACATCCTCATCCAAGATTTCCTCCTCCTGGCTCGGTCCACTCTCGACTGGCACGCGAGCCACCAAAATATCCTCAGTGGTCTTCGCAGTGGAGGTGGGGTCACCACCGAGTATCACATCCAGCTCTTTGTAGAACCGGCAGCTCATGGGTGCAGCACCCGAGCAGCGTTTTGCCTCCCGTGCCTTGTGGTAGGCGTTCTGCAGCTCCTTCACTCTGACCCTGCACTGCAGTGTGTCCCGGTCATGGCCCCTTTCTGTCATGCATCATGAAATCTGTCTGTAGGTATCATAATTCCTACGGCTGGAGCACAGCTGGAACTGCACAGCCTCCTCTCCCCAAATACCGATGAGGTCCAGCAGCTCGGCATTGCTCCAAGCAGGAGATCACCTGGTGCATGGAGCAGGCATGGCCACCTGGAAAGATGTGTTGAAACCACTGCACGCATCACCGAGCAAACAGGAAGGGGACTTTCAAAATTTCCAAGGAATTTATGGGCTGGGGATGATGGTTGGTCACTTGAGGGCAGGGCAGTAGAGTTCAAACCCATGGCCAGAGAGGCAAGAGCAGTCATTGTGGGACACCTCCCGGAGGCCAATCGCAGTGCTGTAATCACCACGGTGTCTACACTGGCACCGCAGCACTGTAGCCCCGGCGTAGAAAGCTCTACGCCTCTCATCGGGGTGGTTTTTTAAAAGTGCTGCAACGACACAGTTTCTGCGCACTAAGTGGCTTGGCAGGGTACACACCTCGGGAGTTACAGCACAGAAAGCTGCTTTACTGCACAGAAACTTGCCAGTGCAGACAAGGCCTTGGTCTGAGATTTCCAAAGGGGTCCGCACCTCTGTTCAAAATTTTTTAGGAGTCCGCAAATGAAAAAAGGGTGAAAACCACTGCTGTAGGCCAATGCATTTGCTGCTGCCCGATATTGGTGGGAGAAGCCAACAAACTCCCTTGTCCGTTGGGTTGGAAGGATTAGATTTTTGTCGTTAAATGCCAGGAAAGTTTAGCTTCACCGCACACACACTCAAAAGGAGCAAAACATATTTCCATTGATAAGAATTTGAAATTTGACACAGGGGCAGTGGAAGCGACCTAAAAGTGTGTGGGGGTCATTGGTGCCTAAACTATAGCCCTGCCGTGTAGCGGGGCGGCCTGGCTTCCAGGCGCCCCAGGAAGCGATGAGCCAGAAAAGCCGCCAGAGTGGGCGGAGCCACCGCGGCCTGTCCCCGCCCCCCGGAAGTCAAGGGGCGGGACAGGAAGTATAAAGGCCAGGCCCCAGCGCTCAGTAGCTGGCCGGCAGCGGGAGAGGACAGACGCTGGTGCCCGAGCTCCTGCGGACCTGAGCCTGCCGAGAGCCCGGTACCCTGAGAAGGACTGGCCGAGTCTGCCGAGAGCCCGGTACCCTGAGGAGGACTGGCCGAGCCTGCCGAGAGCCCGGTACCCTGAGGAGGACTGGCCGAGCCCGCTGAGAGCCCGGTCCCCCGAGGAGTGGCCTGAGCTTCACCCCGCCGAGGGCCCAG